CTAGAGATCCATCAAACCACGTCTGTAGGTAATTAGAAGGATTCACTGTAAAGATGAACTTTAGCAGAAATTGGAGAATTAATCTGTGAGAGGAAGATAAACTCCTGATCAAGCTGCAGTCAGCCTGCTGCACCTCCTATCAGTTGACAGGAAGTGCTCCCTCCCAGCCTCCTTGGTGTTTGCTGGCTGCTCCACCTCCTCTTGTCTTTGGAGAATCGCCCACAAGTTCCTTATGAAGCTTCATATCTAAGATCTCTGTCTTCACTTCATCAACTGGTCTTCTATCTCCATTATAATAATAATTGAACTTTATTGATCTCACACTGGAGAAATTCACTCTCTGTATTTAACCCATCCCCTTGGGGAGCAGTGGGCTGCCATTGTTTGGCGCCCAGGAAACAGTGTGGAGTTAAGGGTCTTTCCTCAGGTACCCAGAGTGGCAGTCTGTGGTAGTGTATGGGACTTCAACTCTGAACCTCTGGGACCCAGGTGCAACGCCCTAACAACTAGGTCACCACTCCCTTTGTTATGAGAAAAAAGTTGGACCTCCTTCCCTCACTGGGGGGAAAGAGGAGCGGATAGGAAGAGGGACAAGGGTCAGCACCCCCCTCTTTGGACATCTGATGCTAAACATTACCTATTGTCACTCATGTACAATACTCTTCCCTCTCACTGTGCAATAACTCATGCCAAATACCGTGCAGCCTGTTTAATTTTTGCTTATTTATAAGGTCAGTACATCTCTGCAGTAAAAGTGCAATAATCCAAGTCAACTACTGTGTGATCATCCCTTAGCTCTCTACTGTGCAGATATTTTATATATATTCCAGAATGCTGGTAAAGATTCTCAGTCATTCAGGTCATAGTCATTCCAAAAAAGTTAAAAACAACAATATACCTTTCCTGGACTGTTTGGTGAGCATGGAAGGATATGGAAACCTCAACATTAAAGTCTATAGGAAATCCACTCACACAGACCAATATCTTCTTTCTGACTCACACCACCCACTGGAACACAGACTTTCAGTTATCAGAAACTTCCAACAGCGGGCAGAGCATGTCCCTACTAAAACATAAGCACAAAGAACAGAAACACATCAAAGATGCTCTCCAGGCCTGTGGATACCCAAACTGGGCGATTGTCAAATCAGCAAGGAAAAGATACGCAGCAGAACATAACAGTCAGAAGAATAAAGGCAACAACATCTCCATCCCATATGTTGCTGGAGTCTCTGAAAAACCCAAGAGGATTTTCTCCAAACACAAAATCCCAGAAGATTTCAAACCAAACAGCCCCTTAAACAGAGACTAGTTCCTCCTAAAGACCAAACCCCCAGACCAAATCTGAGCGAAGCGGTGCCTGCAGTTCAATGCAGTGAGGAATGCTCTGATCTTTATGTTGGAGAAACCAAACAACCTCTCCACAGACGCACGGCCCAACACAGAAGAGCGCCCTCCTCTGGACAAGATACTGCGGTACATCTACACTTTATGGACAGAGGACATTATTTAGAGGACCAGAATGTTCAGATTTTAGACAAAGAAGACAGGTGGTTTGAGAAGGGTGTGAAGGAAACCATCTATGTTAAAATCCACCTCATTTTGGGAAATTCTGGTCTATTTTGCAGAGCCAATTAGAAAAGCAAATAACTTAGGGAACTGTAAGCCCAAATTACATGTGCAATATATTATTAGAAAGCTAACACACCGTAGTTTCTGACTACATAAATTACCAAGACCAAGCTGCATCAGTTCAAACATGACTCAAAGTATTTTTTTTATTCTTTGAAATGATAGATATTTTTTGAACAGCAGTAATAAATACATTCTTGAGAATAGGCAGGTCTAATTGTATTATATTTGCTCTACATTATGTCAATCACAAAGGCAGAAAATTTCAGACCTCTAGCTACAACAGTTCCAGAGCTGTGGGGTTTTGAACTTGGAGCGGCGCGCAATGTCTCCACCCGCTGGTGTCTGTGTTTCTCTCTAACACAAGCCTGTAATATGGTACCCCTTTAAATAAACCAGGCCCATTTGGGCTCGTTCGAAACCTTATTTCATTGGCTACAAAGCCCAACAGCCCACGAGTCTTAATCAATAACAGCAGAGAATTATGACACGGAATATTGCGTGTCACTGGCTGACAGGAAGTGACCAGAAGTGGACCGGAAGTGAGATTTCGGGGACTATATCTGGCTCAAATCGTGTCATAAAAATATGCAGACACTTGTGTCTTGTAGATAAGAACACGATGTAAAGAACATAACAACAACCGAGGATAATTATTCAGAAGTAAATATTGGCAAGATGCTGAGAATACGCTATGACCAGCTAACCTTTCTGATGTCAACAATCGGATTATGGGCGATTTTCTCATCATGGAATATTTTTATTCTGAATATGCTGGATTAGTTAGAATCTGCGGACCCTTATGGACAAATGGAGTATAAAATCTAAGAATCTAAGCTTTCCAATGATGTCTAACCTGTCTATATTGGTAAAAATTTTACCAGTGGAATTTTCATACATTCTGAGTTATTCTCAAAACTCAAACCTATAAGAAAGAAAAACCAACCTTAAACAGCAGAAGTGGACTCAGATTTCAGCTTTCAAAATCCTACAATGCAGTGATAGAGTTGATTCCTTCTTGCAATCATAATCCTCTTCACCATGCAGGGGACCAAGATATCTCACCTGTTATTGATGGCATTGATGGCAGGCCATCCATGACCCGAACGACTACCTCTTCAGGGGCATAGACCAGTATCTGGTATTGCAGATTAACTAAGACCTTAACGACTCCCCATTACTGAGGGGTGGACCTGTTCTTCCAGTTAAATTTGCATGTTTTCTAAGCTAAAACAAGGCTTTGTTGGTGCACTCTAAAAAGTGGGTGCTGGTGCCTATCTCCAGCTGTCTACGAGAGGCGGGTACCACCCTGGACAGGTCACCAGTCCATCGCAGGTACTATATACAGTCTTTTTATATTGTCTGAATGCATTTTTATCTTTAATGGCATCTTGCTTTAGCTCTTTCAACTCTATATAAGCTACTGGAACCAGAGTTTTCTTGAAGGACTAATCCCAAGGAAGCAATACAGTTGAGTCTAAGTCTATGTCTAATGGCCAGAAACCATCTTGGATTCCAATGAAGCCGTGCAGTTGTATCTTTATTTGTTGCCCCGCTGTTCTGTCACATGTCTGGGATTGGTTGGCCTCTCCTGTCTCCTCCCAGGAGACATTTTGCTGAAGCCTGATTGGACGGTTTACCACCAGCTTCTCCATCTCACAACAGCTCCATTTAAGCTCCACTCGCCTGGCAATCAGGGAAGCTGGGGTTTAATATGAGCAGCTGCCTTCTTGCTTTGGTGTTTTTGGAAAAGCACAATGTTGTAGACTGGATTATTTCTTTCTTAAGGATTTATCTAAGCAATTGTAAGATAAAAACACAAACAAAAGTAGACACCCTATCTACTTTTAAGGCTAGGCTTAAACTTTCCTTTTTGATAAAGCTTATAGTTAGAGTGGCTCAGGTTATCCTGAGCTATCTCTATAGTTATGTTGCTATAGGCTTAGACCGCTGGAGGACATAGGGACCCCTTTTTCATCATTCTACTTCATTCCATCTCTATTCTCCCACTCTGCAGAATCTGTTAGTTGAATTTCTATCATTGTGCTCTCTCTGCTTTTTCTCACAGTAGCTTGATCTGGTCTGTTCCTGTTTGGCTGTGACTCCATCCAGGAAAGAAATATCAGCTGTGCTGCTGCCATCAATACCTTTGTTTCTAGATGTTGGAGCTTGGCCTGTTTTTCAGTGTAGTCCTGTTTCTTTGACTGTGACTAACTGGATGTGCTCTCTTCATCCTCTGACATGGGAGCTGGCTCAGAGCTGGTCTGCCTGGCTGTGTGTTTCCTGGACGGGGCCGCCTGTGGAGCTGGTTGACAGTTTCCTTTTGTATCTATGCTTCTTTTTCTATGTCTGCTTCTGTCCTGGAACCTGTCGCTGGCTGGCTGGCTGGCTGGCTGGCTGGCTGGCTGGCTGGCTGGCTGGCTGGCTGGATGGATGGATGGATGGATGGATGGATGGATGGATGGATGGATGGACGGATGGATGGATGGATGGATGGATGGATGGATGGATGGATGGACATTGACCTCTGGTATGCTGGCTGTCATTCTGCAGAGGTCATCTTCCAGGTAGTGTCTATGCTATCAGGCTTGTTGTTGTTGGCACTGGAGCTCATAGATGTAGAGCTCATAGATGGAATCAAAGTGGATTCAGTTCATTCAGTTGAACTGTGTTGATTCTGGAATCATCGTCATTGCGTGGATTTTGGTAAAAAAGGCTTCCAGCGTCTGACTTGCTGCTTTTCTTCTGAGGCTGATGTGGATTGACTAGTTTTAGTCCAAACAGGAACACATTTTGAAACACAGCCATGGTGTCTGCAAGAACTTGTTTTTCATCATCACTTCATGTCTGTAGTGTGGAGGGAGACTAAAGTGTCCTTCACAAGGAGCAGATGGAGAACATCTTTAAATAGTCTTTCATTATCTCTAATTGACTTATGTCTAAACTTTAGTTTTAAAGTTCCATTTATGGGGCCTGCTGGTCCCCATAAGACCCTGATTTTCCTCTGAAGCATCCAAATGGCCGCAGTCTCTGATGGTCTCTATTTAATTCACCCTGTTCGGTCACAATGACCCATGAAGACTGATGCCTCATTCTTCAGTTTCTAAAGAAACGGCCATCTAACTGTCACAGTCAGAAAACACGGGGGGGGGGGGGGGGGGGGGGGAGCAGTGTGAAATGAGTGCAGCTGGCCTGTGGCGACAAGAGTAAGTGTGTTTGTGGAGCCAGCTAACTGAGCTTTAAGAAGGAGGAGCCGTCATGTTGTTCCTGCTCTTCCAGGTGGGTGGATATTAACAAAAGAGCAGTTTCTCTGCCTAATTAAGGTAATGGAGTGGGAAGAATCTGGTGAGTAAAGCAGATGGGCAATGACATGCAGAAAGGCCTCTGGGGGTTCAGAGAGTGAGCAGAACTTTAGCCATTGATTGGCCTGAGAGGAGAAGATAAAAAGAGCTGGATTGTTCTGTTAGATCCATCAGCAGCAGCTCAGGTCTGAGCTCCATCATCCAAAACATCACAGGTAGGAAGGTAACTGGGGAGCAGGGGGGGGAGGCAGGAGGCTCGTTGGAAACTAAAACCTTCTTCACTCAGCTGAGAGTTTAGATCCCAGAGAGAAGCTGCTGGTCAGAGAGGAGATGATGCCGAGAAGGACAAAGAACCAGCGGTGAGTCGATTCAGCTCTGCTGGATTTTATTACTAAAACCTTCTCCCACATGCAGGCCTCATTTCTCTGATCTGTTAGAAAAAAGGATTAATTTACAGTTAAAGAAATGAACACCCCACCTCCCTCATTCCCTAATGAGACCGTAATTAACTGACTTTTAACAACACTATATTTACACTATTCAACTAATAGAATCAATAATTAATGTAAAACAAGTGTCCGCTAAAAATCTTTAAATTGTAGTGGTCCTTCATCTGACTCAGTACATCAAATGTTGTTAAAACCCCGAAGCTGAATACAATCCTCCATGTTCTGTGTGTCTCTGTGGAAGTGAAAGTCCAGCCTTATTGTGACTTTAACCTTCCACAGAGCCACGGCATCAAGGTGAGCTCCCTCCTGCCGTCTGTCTCAGAGGGACAGGTAAACGGCCATCTTTGCTTCACTGATTAAAACGTTTAAAAGTTGGGTCTGAAGAACAAAAGCATCCCCAAACTATGACACCTCCACCTCCAATCTAGAATTCTGGATCTAGATTAGAAAGATCGTAAAGTAAATATGGTGTAAAGACGGAGGCAGGTCTGAGGCCCCGTCCACACGAAGTCAAAACGAACACGAAACGCTGATATTTTCCAAAACGTTTGCCGTAAAGACGGAGACGTAAAATAAATGTGAGCGTCCACACGAATGCATGAAAACGCTGCAAAATGTATGCCAGGCCTGTAAGTGGCGCTGTGGTGCCAAAGCAAAAATAAGCGACGAAATGTTGGGCATGGCACTAATATTTATACATGGTTGCCCTGCGGGTCCATTTTCGTGGTTAAGTCAAATTCAGGTGCTGAACTATGTCATCTATATTGCTCTGTTCTTCCTGGAGATATTCCAGAAGAAGAAGATTCTGTTGTAAGCCCGACAGCAGGGTGAGTAGCATTAGCAGCAACAGCGCCATTGTTGTTGTGATGTGTCGCGCATGCGTGTTTGGAGGCGACGCTATGACGCATGCGTGTAAAAAAAAATATGCGGTTAGAGCGTAAAGATGGAAACGCGAAAACGGCGTTTCGAAATCTTCCCACTCTGAAGGCTGAATAAAAAAAAGATCCTTTACAGACCCCCGAAACGCCGGCTTCGTGTGGATGAGAGGCTGGTTTGGTGAAAAACTTGTACGTTTAGGCCAGGGTTCGTCTTCGTGTGGACGGGGCCTGAGTGTCAGAGCTTACTGCGGAGACCCTGAAAAGAAAGGACCTTCATCAGTCCTGATCTTTGTCATCAAACATAACAAACTTAGACTTTGGAGCTGCTGCCCTGAGCTTTTGGATATGTCTGTACTTAAACCCACCTGAATTAAATAATCTTGTGATTAGCAGCAACCTGGAGTTTGTTTAACATTAGTCAGATTCAGGACATTATAAAAGTAGGAAACCAACTTATTAACAGGAATATTCAGGTGTAACTTTCTCATCCGCGACAAGGCAACCTCAGAGGGAAAACAAACAACTAGAAAACATAACATAACCAAAGATCAACAAAACAGAATAACTGAAAACTAAAAACTCAGAGTCCCAAAAGGGGAGAACCATAACAAAGACAGTTATATAAACAGCATTGAATGACTGATAAAAAGATAAAATCATTTAAAAAAGGACTAATGGTAACTAATAATGTTTAGATAGAAACGTTTGATGATGGCCTTAGCATTGGCTAATAGCTTGCCTCCACTTTAACTCTCATTTCAATTTGTTCGTTTTTCACTGGTGTCATAAATTCATAGGCACACATTGGATGTCATGTCTGTGAGGATCCGCAGTCATCCAGGTCACGGTCAGCCTGAGCAGTTCGGCTGTCAGAACCTTTTATTTACTTTTAAATAATTCTAATTTTAAAATGATGAAATGAATCAACTGTGTGTCGTGACTGAAGCTTTGATATTAGCCAACAGTAGTTTAACGCTGAACCAGTCGGACTGACCAGAACCTGGGCTCAGTGTCAGAGCTGCTCTGTCACCTACTCAGGTTTAAATACAGTACTACCACATTTGAAGAATCTTCTCCCCCCCTAGGATTGCTACCCTGGTGCTGGGCTGGATGCTGATGACCTCTCTACCACCTCCCCCCTTACACCATGTGTCGGCTGTCAACCTGCGGCAGTTCGTTGGATGTGCAGTTCGAGAATTCACCTTCCTGGCCAAGAAACCTGGCTGTGGTGGGCTGCACATCACTACTGATGCCTGCTGGGGGCGCTGTGAGACCTGGGAGGTGAGAAGCACAAACCAGACTCCTTCTTCAGGGTAATACAAGTACAAGTTGCATGTTGGTGGGATCTTAGCAGAGTGAGATAAAGCAGACTGTACTGATGAAGAGAGTTAGCCTGCTGCGTAGAGCTGAGGAAAGTGAAGGACACGGAGGAAACAGAACTAACATCCAGACAGAAACACACACGGATGAATAGAAACCCTGCATGTAGAAATACTTCTCAAGAAGAATCTAGTTATCCTCATCCCGGCCGATTCACACTCGACTGCCAATAGAAGCACATCATCTTCTACTGTAATAACAGAGACATCATGCAAAGGCCACCAAAACACATCCCCTCAACACCTTGGCTGTGCCTAGAAATTCTGTCCTTAGAAGTTCTGAACAGAATTGGTGGTAAAGGGCAAACTTGGCAGAGTCCAAACCTCACAGGAACAAGTCCGACCTACTGCTGGCAATGCGGACCAGGCTCTGACACCAGTCATACAAAGACCTAACAGCCCTTATTAAAGGCCCGGTACTCCATACTCCCAGTGTACCCCCCACATTTCACCCTAAGGAACACATTTAAATACCTTCTCCAGATCTTTAAAACACATGTAGACTGGTTGGCAAACTCCCATGCACCCTCCTGTGCAACTTTGAGTGGACATCGGGGGCATTTCCCCTGGATTAGTAGACTGGAGTGTTGCCCCCCCCTATTTAAAAAGGGGGCCGCAGATGGGGTTCCGACTACAGAGGAATCACACTGTTAAGCCTTCTTGGTAAGGTCTATTCAGGGGTTCTGGAAAATAGGGTCCTTCGGATAGTCGAATCTCGGATTCAGGAGCAGCAGTGTGGTTTTCATCCTGGCCGTGAAACACTGGATCAGCTCTAATTTTATCACTTTAACTTTTATTTCAGCACCATTAATTGACAACATATGTAATGTTGGATCTCTATATAGATCCATATCAACCAGATGTCCCAGTCGGATTAAAGATTCAAAGTTTCTGTCCAAGGAAATGCAGCTGGTTGAATCCAGTAACTGACTCTACAGGAATCTATCCTCCTGGATGAGCAGGTAGAGGCAGGAGAGATTGACTCTGATTGTAGCGACAGTGGAGAGGAAAAACTCCCTTTGAACAGGGAGAAACCTCAAGCAGAACCAGCCTCATTGTGAGCTGCCATCTGTTGAGGCCACCTGGGATTCAAGGAGACAGAAGCAGGCATAGAAAAGAAACATAGAAGCTCTGATCTATAAATACTTTCTATGTTATAAAAGCTCCACTAGATCCAGAGTCTCCATGGTAGCCAGCTGCTGTAAAGCTTGTTTGGGGGGTGGTTGTTTTCAGAACTGCTTTAGATTTCAGTAAATTCTTGTTCTTAATTAACTTCATCCTCTGTCGTCTTCCAGAAGCCCGTCCTGGAGCCTCCTTTCATAGAGTCCTACCAGCGAGTTTGTACCTACAACCTGAGCCGTCTGGTCACGGTGAAACTACCCAACTGCAGGAACAACATGGACCCGACCTACACCTACCCTGTGGCCCTGAAATGCTCCTGTGGCGTCTGTCTGACCAGTACCACTGAATGCATAACCTCTGTCTGAAGACTCATCCAGACAGTCTTTCTTTTTTTTGTTGTTGATAAAATGTATATTTAGGCAAATTGTGAGCTCACCATTTAATATCAGGGTCGGACCTCACAGCTGTTTTATATTACGGGTTTATCTGAATGTCCTTAAGATAAAAACGTCAAATTGACATGAACATGAAGCTCAGGTTAGGTTCAGACTCCTTCTATGCAAACAGTGGTGGTTGGCCAATAGAGGGCACTAGAGTGCCGCCCCACCCACTCAATGACCTTGATAAAGACATGAAATGTACATATATATTTTTCAGATGTGCAAGAAAAATATTTAATCTTTAATGCCAATTAAAGCTGTTTCATTCGTCGTCAGATTGGTGACGTATTTCCGCCTTGGGTGCAAAAATCTCTGTATCCTGGTTTCCCTGCCTCCTTTTTCAAAGGTCAGGATCTGAGCCAGCATGGATAAAGACAGATAGGACTGATTTCAAGTACTTCAATCTCTAACGTTAAAGTACAATCTGGGATTCACATGGAAAATAATATAATATTGTCTACTTTTTTCTACATGTTTGTTCATGTGCATAGTTGCTCTTAAATAAACACATTCTCAGAAAATAGTTTTTATATATCGAAAACATATAAAGCTGACTAATAGCTTCTGTAACCTCCATCAGTCCTCCAGGTCAAAATCAGCCTGAAAGGTTCAGTCTATGTAGGTGAGGTTTTCTAGGAGACGTTTCTCCTCTCATCCAAGAGGTTCTTCAGTTCTAACTAATGGGGAGAACTGAGATTGATTACTTAATATACCTAAATGCTAACAATGATGCTAATACTCATAAATGTCTAAAAGCAGTAACTAATTATTAATTAGGATTAGAACAGAAGTAAAGTAAACGTGAAGACAGAACAGCAACATTTATCTTGTTTAATATAGATTCCATGATGTTACAGCAGATCTTCGCTTTTCGTTTTTATACTTCTGTTCTGATATCCTGGTCATGAACATGGAGGGAGGTTTTTTTTTGGACATTAAATCCAGAAGAGTGTCCCCATTACAGACATGATCTGATCCAGCCTGGTGCCTGAGGATGTTTGGTCCGATGTTTGAAGGTTTCTGTAAAAACTGGACCTTATCAGAAGGAGTTAGACCCTGATATTACATTCCTGTTTGGTATAGTAGATGTTTTACATAGTTTTCCTACTCATGGTTTATTACTAAAAAGTATGGAGGCTAATTCACATCAGACATTATAATTCCTAACAGAAAGAGCTCTGGTGGTGTCAATAAGGCTGAAGCCAGCAATCATCATTTTGAAAAATGTTTTAAATGGTGTAATGGTTTGATGAGGCAGCAGGATGTGATTCTGCAGATCTATAAAAAGCTTCTTTTAAATGTTATCTAGGACCTTTTCTGAAGCGTCAGAGCCCTTAGCCATTCCTCTGGTCTGAATAAAATTAAATTCTGTTAAACCTGTCATCGTCTTCTGTAGTCATTTTATGAATAAACATTGAAAAGTTTGATTTAAAATATTTGTTCCCTATGATCTCTGGGAGAAAAAGCTTGAAGGTAAAAACACTGCAGTTTCATTACAAACTCCTGGCGACTAGAAGAATTACTTAGACTAAAATAAAACCTCCAAATGAACATAGAATAGAAACCAAAGCCCAAAGGATTCGTTAAGCTAAAGGGTTGCGTCCTTCTTGAATTTCAGCACCTGTCTTTGCTGCAGGCGTCCATCAGTCAGCGGAAGCTCGTCCACGTTGAAAATATTCACCTGTGCAGGAAGCAGCACAGTCAATTAAAGTCTCAATAATATCCCTGTTGTCTAATTGGCGATAGTATTGCATCACTTCTTGTTTTGGTTTTTCTAGACCTACGTTCTGTGGTTCCACTCAATCCGTGAAATCTCTAAAGCACTTTAACTGTACAGAAGCCCTGAGAAACACGTCCTCTACTTGTCTCCCTTTTTGAACTGGGCACTAGCCTAGCACTACTTTGGCTGCCCTCTCTGTATTTCCGTGTCAGATGTTCAGTTATCCCTCTGCCCCTTTTAGTGATAATGGGATGTGAAACAGTTGTAGTGTTTTTGAAGCCTTGGAGGAGAGGGGGTCAGAGTTAGAGTTCGGGCTTCAGGATGTTGAACATCCAGGAGTTAGACCAGGCCTGGTAGCTAAAAGCTCAGAGCCACCAAGACCAGGGACAAATCGAAGTACTGGGCCGTTTCACGCAACACGCAAGTACGGACTCACGTTCATGTCAAGTCCGGTCTTGGCAAGAACATGGGAAAGTATGGACTTGGCGAGAACGTGAGCACGCAGCACAGTTATGGGTCAATTGGAACAGAAACATACTCATGACATCACCAAACGCTTGGCTCTTCTAGAGCTGCATTTCACCTCCTGTTATAAGTCTCTAGATCAGTGGTCTCCAACCCTGGTCCTCAAGATCTACTGTCCTACAGATTTTAGATGCATCCCTGCTTAAATAGAGCTTAATTAAATGAATGGCTTGAAAAGGTAATCAATCATTTGATTCAGCTGTGTTGAAGCAGGGATGCATCTAAAATCTGTAGGACAGTAGATCTTGAGGACCAGGGTTGGAGACCACTGCTATAGATAATAATGAATTATTACTTTTTTCATTTAGTGGGGGAATAATGATGGACACAGTTAGATAAACACAAATCAAATAAAAACGTTGCCAAATAAAACAAAAAAATCACAATGAGAGCCAGAGGTCCTTCACACACGGCTATGTCGAGAGAGGGCTGCTGCAGCCTGGCAGTGGTTAGCCTTGGCTGCCGTTACCCTCGGAGCTCTGCTGGTTGCCGCGGTCCTCTCAACTTCAAAAATTGTTTTTCAATTACACATTAAATCAGTAAATTGACCATATAGTGACGCTTTAAAGTATAATATTCTCGCCTCAAATGATCTTAAAACGTACTTTTATTGAACAACAAAAAAAATTTTAACTTTCAATGGAGCACTTTATTGAACGCTGCTGCTGCCGCAGTGCATGCTGGGTCGGCTGTCAATCTCAAGAACGGACAAGTCTGCTCTGATGCATACTTGATAAAGAGGGCGGGGCGAGAACAACTTCTGGGGATTTGGTGCGCTCTCAGCCTGGCGTTCTCGGCAATTGGAGCAGCACTCGGGCTGAGGCTGATGACGTATCACGAGTACACAAGAACGCTCAAGAACGCATATTGAGAAACAGCCCTGGTCCTCCAGCAGTTCCTAAACAGCCAGGGACCCAGACATAACCGGCTCTCTCATTGGTTAGAATGCCTCACTTGGCTCACAAAATTACCCAATGAAAGAAATGTTTACATCTGAGAAGCTACTGTGATTGGTTTAACTGGTTTTCAATGCGCTCAGAGACCAAAAGTCATTGAAAAGCTAAATGCAGAGGGTTAAATAAAGGGGAAAGGCAACTGCTGATGCTCCAGGGTTACCTGTGGAGTACCACAGGGATCAGTGCTAGGACTGATTCTCTTTGCTATATACATGCTCCCGATCGGTTATTAGACAGCATGTTATTAATTTCCACTGTTATGCTGATGATACCCAGCTATATCTGTCTATAATCCAGATGAAGCTAACCCATTACATAGATTACAGGCATGTCTGAAGTGATAAAAACCTGGATGACTCTTTCTGCTCCTGAATGCAGACAAAACAGAAGTTATAGTCTTTGGAACAGAGTCTTTGAAAAAAAAAAGCTGGTTAGTCAGTCCCTTCATTTGGATGGGATTAAACTGATCTCAGATAAAAAATCTTGGTGTTATTTTAGATCAGGACCTGTTATTTAAATCCCATATCAAAGAGGTTTCTAGAATTTCCTTCTTTTGTCTGAGGAATATTGCAAAAATTAGAAATATCCTGTCCAGGGTGATGCTGAGAAACTAGTCCATGCATTTGTTACTTCAAGGCTGGACTATTGTAATTCTTTACTATCAGGAAGTCCACAAACTGTAGTTAAAAGTCTTCAGCTGATCCTAAATGCTGCAGCCAGAGTTCTGATGAAAATGAAAAACAGAGATCATATCTCTCCATATTCTGAAATAGCAGCATTTGATAATGCATTTAAAAATAAAATGTATAATTCCTCAGTTTACATGTTCAATTAGAAAACACTTTTCTTTATAATTTTTATTTTTAATAGTTGGTATAATTACAATTGTATATTTATTTCCACTGAATCTCATGAATCTTAAACATTGAATTAAATTCCTCCATCCAATAAATCTTCTCTGGTTTATCCCATCATCAGGGTCATGGTGAGGCGGGCGTCTATCTGCAGCGGTCTGAGGGTGGGAGGCATTAAAAACTCCTCTTCCTCATTATTCTGATATCCAGCAAACTCAGTAGTTAGAAAATAAATATTCTTTGTCTGATTGGATGTTTGTAATGAGCCCAGTCCGCTGGTCATGGCACCAACAAACCAAAGCTTCAATCAGGCTAAATCCTGAGAGTAACTTTGGGTTAGAGAGTATTTTAACAGTTTAGCATCACTTTTACTTTCTACAGTGTGTATAACCAGAAACTGCCAAACTAATCAGACCTTTGCCCTCAGAAAACTTTGGGTGTGAAAGCGTTTATTACTGAAGCTCAGCGGAGGATAGGATGTCATGTTAAACAGGGAACCAGAGGTGGGCGGTGGGCGGGAGGTTTTCCGGGCTGCTGTCGCTCCTGGGAACTCTGTTATCTTCAGCAACTCTGACAAGACAGCGTTTAACAGCCACTGCTGTCCTAATCCTTTCTGACATTGTTGCTTCCTTCTTCTGCTGCATTTAGAGGGTTGAAGGTTGAAGCAGAACCAAGCAGGAGTCACAGAGCAGTGTTTCTCATGCTAACACATCCTTACAGATAAAAGAATATCAGAAAATTAGCTTCATATGATCTTTAATCATTTATTTTACATGCACTCTAGAGTAGAACATAGTATCTCAAAGGAGAACAATAAAATATTCTACAGCCTAAAAAAATCTTTTTTCTTTTTCTGTTAACCCATTTTACTGCAGAAAACTTGAATTTACCTGGAGTTCACAAAGTCGAGCATGACTGTAAAGTTCATAGAAATTATTTTTGTATTTTTAACAACTAATACTCTGGTTAAGATGTTTTTTTCAGTCTCTCTGAATCGCAACATTGAATAATCCATCTGACTGCAGGTCTTCTGTGGGTTTTAAGGCTTTTTCTCCACCAGCTTTAAGGGGTTAATTCAATAAATTTCTAAAAGTAGAATGGGAGGCAGATCTTTTAGTTATCAGGCTCCTCTCCTGTGGAACCAACTACCAGTTTTAGTCAGTGAGGCAGACACCCTGTCTACTTTTAAGGGTAGGTTTAAAACGTTCCTTTTTGATAAAGCTTATAGTTAGAGTGGCTCAGGTTATCCTGAGCTATCTCTATAGTTATGCTGCTATAGGCTTAGACTTCTGGAGGACATAGGGACCCCTTTCTCATCATTCTGCTTCATTCTCTCTCTATTCTCCTATTCTGATTTATCTGTTAGTTCAATCTCTAACGTTCTGCTCTCTCTGCTTTTTCTCATAGTAGCTTCATCTGGTCTGTTCCTGTTTGGCTGTGACTCCATCCTGGAGAGAAATATCAGCTGTGCTGCTGCCATCAACACCTTTGTTTCTAGATGTTGGAGATCTGCCTCTTTTCCAGTGTATTCCTGTTTCTCTGACCGTGACTGGCTGGATGTGCTCTCTTCGTTCTCTGGCATGGGAGCTGGCTCGGAGCTCGTCTGTCTGGCTGCGTGTTTCCTGGATGGGGCCGCCTTTTACAGCTGCTTTTTCTATCTCTGATTCTGTCTCCTTGAACCCCAGTCAGCCTCAGCAAATGGCAGCTCACACTGAGCCTGGTTCTGCTGGAGGTTTCTTCCTGTTAAAAGGAGTTTTTCCTCTCCACTGTCGCTACAAGCATGCTTAGTGTGAGGGATTGCTGAAGAGTCAATGAGTCGATGCAATCAACTGGTTTTCCTTAGATAGAAAACTTTGAATCAATTTGACTATGATCTGGTTGAACTGTAAAGTGCCTTGAGATGATGTGTTGTGAATTGACACCATATAAATAAACTGAAATGAGTTTAATTAAATTAGTATTAATAATATGATTCAGTTCTGTTATGTAGTAAAATTAAATGTTGCCTTTCAAATATTTACACTGTGGAGGTGGCAGTTATAGCAGTTTTATTGGACTGCCTGAACAGCTGGTCAGAGGGACTTTACTTGGGTGGGGCGTGAAAACTTATTTGGGCACCAAAGGGGGGGCTGGCTATAACAGGTTTTAAACTAATGAATTAGAGCGGGGAAATGGCTGGAAGCATCTTTATTCAGGCTGTTCGTGGATATTTGTAGCTCCTGCAGCACATTTCCTTGGATGCAGTTTATTACCACATGTCTTGATAATTAATTAAGTATTGCATGTATTGTTTAAGATAAGCATGAGCAAACAATGTAAT